CTGCTTGGCCTGCTGTGTTCATCCAGCCCTGCACCTTGTTGTCTCGGTATCTTCCTTTGTGCCAGGTTTCACGCCAACCAGCAGAGAATTTTCTCCCTCGTTCCCATTGAATTCAGTTTTGCTAGGGATCCTTGATGCCACACTTGGTTAAATGTGGCCTTGATATCAAAAGCAGTCACTCTCACTTCATCTCTGAAATTCAGCTTCTTTGGCCATGTTTGAAGCAAGGCTATGATGAAATCAGGAGCTTTGTGGCATAATCCAAAATGGGCATCAGTGAACAAGTGCTGCTTTATTGATAATGCCTTCCATCACTTTACTGATGATCAAGAGTATACTGATGGGGCGATAATTGACCAGGTTGGATTTGTTATGCTTTTTGCATACAGGGCATACCTGGGCAAATTTCCACATTGTCGAGTAGATGCTGGTGTTGTAGCTATACTAGAACAGCATGGCTATGGGCGCAGTAGATTCTGGAGCACAGGTCCTCAGTGTAGAGAGTTGGAATAAATGTGTCTTTTTCTAGTTGGAAAGATGCAACAGGTTGGGTACCACATGGTTTGGTCCTTGGGTCCTAACTATTTGCAGCCTACATTAATGACTTGGATGCAGGGATAGAAGGTACTATATCTAACTTTGCAGATGACAATAAAATAGATGGAAAATTAAGTTGCAATGAAAAAGTAAGCTGTTTACAAATGGATTTAAATAGGTTAGGTGAATGGACTAGCGTTTAACCTGGATAAGTATGAAATTATCTGTTTTGGTTGAAGGAGTAGAAAGCCAACTTCTTATTTAAATGGAGGGAGACTTCAGTGTTCCTTCATGCAGAGGGACCTGGGTGTCCTTATGCGTGAATTGCAGAAACTAGTATGCAAGTACAGAACAATGAGAAGGCTAATTGGAATTTTGGCATTTATTCCTAAAGGAATAGAGTATAAAATTGGAGAAATGTTGCTGCAATAAGACTTTAGTAAGACTGCACTTTGCAGTACCATTTCTTCCAATTGTTCCTGGATATCACATGGAGTTAATCGAACTTTGTGAAGACTGGCATCTGTGATTCTAGGATGTTTTGTACAGGCATTGTCTGTTTTTTTTTTATCTAAATCAGACTCAAATGCGTTGATAGTGCAGTCGTGGTCTCTCTCTGTACATCTGCTTTTACAATATGACTGAAAATTTAACTCTTAACTTGCTGAAACTGATTCAACCTCTTCAAATTTATTATAGTGATGACCCCTGGTTTTGGACTTCCTCATAACTTGGAACACTATCTTTACATCAGCCCCATCAAAACTCTCCTTTAAATTTGAAGGTCTTCACCCATTCACCCATTAACCATTTCTGTTTTACACCAACCCGATCATCAGTTCAATTTTAATTCAATTTTATACAGCAGAGGAACAGGGTCTTTGGCCCACTAAGCCTGCACTGATTCCTAGTCCTTATTTAAATCCGTTACTTATTGTCCATGTCCAGTTTCTATCCCTCTGTTCACCTCCTGTTCATATGTCTATCAAGATACACCTTAAGAACCCTAAATCAGATTTAATCAACATTTTCAAACTATGAGATTGGAGAAATAATTTGGGGTTGAAATTTTGTCAGGGTCTTGTGGAAAGAGCAGGTGGTGTAGAATTATTTGGATCGCTCTTTCAAAGAGACAGCATGGGCACAATGGGCCGAAAGGCCATCTTCTGCACTGTACCACTCTGTGGTTCTGCTGCCACTCGCTTTGCCTCTGTCTTCCATAGAGACATAGAAAGTCGAAGCAGGAGTAAGCCATTCAGCTCTTTGAGCCTGCACCACCATTCAACATGATCGTGGCTGACCATCCAACTCAGTGCAACTCAGTTCCACTCCCTGTAGCGCCCAATGTTGTGTAAGGGCATCGGGGTCCTGAAGTTATCAGTTGCCAAAGCTCTTAAATGCATTACCTGCACCATGTGTTTTGTATAAAGAATAACCAGAACTAGGAGCTCGGGGGAAGTGAAAAGAAGCTCCTTTACAGGTCTCACTCATAATCTCTTGATCGTGAAAAATCTGTTAATGAAACCCATTTTAAAGGTCCTCAAGTGCTAAAAAATCTGCTAAAAAACCCCATAATTTTTGTTAGCCACATCAAAGACAATTAATCTTTTAACTGATCAGTCAATCAAACTTAGCTTTTGAAACTCAGTCAAATGTTCAAAATTACATACCTACAGCTTTTGGGAAATTTCAACAAAGAACTCTCTGAAGTCATGGATTAGGTGATCATTCAATTCCTAACCCACTCACCAGATCGCGTGTCAATCATTGCTGTCCAGCTGACGGTGACTTTTTTTGTATCTGAATGCCAGCTCAACCCTTATTTTTAGTCAAGTTTGAAGAGCGAGGGATTAAAATAACTTTAGATCATGACATTTAAACGGAACTTAGCTTCCTTCAAGGGCATTCACATAAATGTATGACATCCTCATGACAGGTTAGGACCCTTGGAAAAACCAAATGGGGTCTGTTCGAGCTCAGCACGATATTTGAGTGAAGTTACTGAGGCTGGGTTTCACCATCTTATGAATCACATTCCACCCCCTCTTACCCGCATTTGAAACTTGAATCCGAGTGAAGATGGGGAGATGCTTGTGAATTTTTGGATGTTTTTCAGCATGCTGGTGTGGAAGGGAATATGGGGGAGGATGATGGTAGAACGATTTGGTAGCGTGCTGTCATAGCTGGGGAGGAGATGCAATCTTGTATTCTGTCCCACTGTGGAGAAGACCCTGATGAAGAACTGGAGGGTGACGTGAAGTTCAATTCACTGGTGAATTCTTGCAATAAGACCACAGTAATTGAAAGGCATCAGACAACACTGAGATCATCAAAGATCACAAGTAACAAACAAAGTGCTTTCTGGTTGGTTCCTGGACATTAAGTCATACAGGTGAAGACTATTCAGGCCCTCCAGCTGGTTCCACTGTTCAATTGTGATCATTGTGATTTGGATCTTAACTTCATTTATCCACCTTGGTTCTATAATCCCTTATCCTTTTGCTCAACAAATGTATATCAACCACAGTTATTTTGGGGGAGGTGGCTCCAGATTTCCAATCCTCTTGGCATGAGGAAGCACTTCCCTGTCCTGAATGATCTATTTGATTTTAAGATTCTGTCCCTCCTTTTGGACTATCTCCATCCGAGAAGAACATTATCTACCTCATCAAATCCTTTAATTGTTACAAACAACTAAATTTAATTACCTTTTAATTCTCTACATTCAAGGGAATACAAATCTAGTCTATGAGCTTTTGTGGTGCAGTGTTAGCGTACGTATCTCTTGACCGGGAGACCAAGGTTTAAATCTCCAATTGCATTGTGAGTGTGCCTGCACCAAATGGACTACAGTGGTTCAAGAAGGCAGCTCACCACCACCTTCTCAAGGGCAACTGGGGACAGGCAATAAATGCCGACCCACCCAAGGACTTCCACGTCCCATGAGTGAATTAAAAAAACACTGTAGGTAAACAGCAGATTAGAAACCTGGGCAGAGAAGTGTTGGAATTATAATATGCATGTTGTAATGTTTGTGTAGAAGTGTTTGTAACACATCAGAGTTATTTACATTTCACAGAGAAAAGACTAATTCTTCCTGCATACATGTGAAATAAACGATCACCAACCAACCTGATTTACTGAGTTCTTGTATCAACTTGTCAAGTTGTCCAATAACAAATGCATTACGCATTTCAAGAGAAACTGTATGCAGAGTGGTGAGAATGTGGAGCTTGTCACCATAGACAGTGACTGTGAGGAATAGTCTAGACATATTTAAGGGATGCAATTGTCTTGTAAAACAGCTGATCTTGGCTGAATGTTGTAGACTGGCACATTCCAAGGTCCAGCACTACATGCTGAGGGATGCACCAAAGTCTGGGGCAGCTGCCAAGTTGCAGTGGGGAAAGACCACTTTCTCAGGTCTTCCTGCAAAAGTTAAATGGGGATCTGTTCACTTATTGGACACACCCCCACCCAGTGCTTCAAATATATGTAAGTATAGTCTTGTATAAGTAACAAATGCCTTTGGTTCGTTGTTGGAAAGAGTCAAACTCCAATGTTTGCTTGTTTCTCCGTATGCTACCATTACAGAACAGAACTGCTTTCGTGACTATGTTTGTATACAAAGATATATTTATGAATAAAGTATATTTTTCTGCTTAAAACAAAAGTGACTGCAGTTTGATGGCAGACCTCAGGTTTCTGAGGATTCTTATTTATTTTTGCAGATGGTCATTTTGAGAGAAGGATGGGGAGGGAGAGGCGTGGGGATTCCGAGTAGATTTTCTCAAAAGTGGGCATCAGGTTATAACATAATAACGGTGTTTTATATTTTCAATGCTGAAAATACCAACATTTTCAATGGACAAGTTGTAAACAAGAGGGAGACTTTTTTCCAGAGTTTTAACATATTCTGTACTTGCCGACTGTAAGCGATGAACCATCTGGTTGGACAAATGTTTCTAATTACCTTCCCTACATCTGTGGAATTTGGTTCTTTTGGCTCTGACATTCCGTCTTGCTCATTTCCACACAACCAACACTAATCAGATACACTTGCATGTGTAGAGCAATAAGCCAATAAAGATTTCAGGCAGTCTCGGCTCGTCTGAAGTCAGCTTCAGTTTTGTCGCCTGTCTCCAATAAAGAATATCCGAGAAGCCAGCAGGCATCATAAGTTTAATTTTGTAACTTTCAGTCTAAACATGCACGCAGACGTTCTGGTAAATTCTATAGTTTTGCTCAACATTGTGTTTGTGTCGCAAAGCTTCTTGAAATCTACAAGGTGAGTACAGCACTCCTGGAGTGCTTTGTTATCTGTTGTTATGGAGATCTGTTAATCTATTGTTTGATAGGATTGCAACTCTGAGGGGAAAAAAATCAACTGCTGTGTAATGACAACTCTCCATGTTAATGGAATTATGAAAATAAAAGGCATATACTTGCCTGCAGAAATAAAAATGATGCATGCCCAACTTTCTTAAAGGCAATTGTGAATTAATACTAGTAATCACAATTAAGAAGGAACCTGATCCTTCATATCACCTGCTTGTGTGCTATTCAGACTAACTATTTCCGATTTAAATCTGATGTGAACTAAGGTGACTTGTGACAAAATAATTGTGGTTCAGCAAAGAGATGAAACTGTCCTAAAGAACATATATATGCTATCAAACAAGTATTGTAGCTATCTTCTCAATTGATTATCCAATGTTACAGATAGTTGATAGAGACAAGAAATGTTTCTCGGTCCAGGAGATCTCATTGTCATAGCATTCAGACAATTAATAGTTAGAATTATCCCTTTAACTTCAATTTTGGAATAAGTATATGTATTTAAAGATATGTATTTAAAGCAAAAACTATAATTTCTGTTCAGGTTTTTGAGAAGTTTCAAGATTTTTGAATACCATTTGGAATTAAGTAATCAGTTTTTTAAAAAAAATATGAAAATACTTTTGTGATGCAGAATTTATTAATGGTTAAGGCTACTTGATGTTATTGGTGATAAAGAGTATAAAGGTACCCCTGTTTATTCAAAATGCTAAGGATTACAGTGAATAAATCCTTAATGTGACTTTTGATGCATTAGCAGCAAATAAATCAAATCAAAGAGAGAAAACATAACACATGAAGACAGCAAAACACATCCAACATTAACATGAAATGGCAGCATAATTTATTGTGTGATAATTTATTGCCAGTGATAAAATAGACCATCTCATTGTCAATTAAGTAAATTAATTACACCCCAGTAATAGAAAGTCAATTAGATGACCTTCGCTAATGAGTCTTCTCCAGTGTTTATCTTTCGGGATCTGGGCACTGTTGCCAAGCATTTATTATGCATATCCTCGTCATCACTGAGTCAAAAGGTCACGGGATCAGAGACCTGAGCACAAAGATCCACGTTGACCCTCCCAATGCAATACAGAAGGAGTGTACAATCGGAGGTGCCATATTTTGGATAAGGCAATGAGTCAAGGTACCATCTGCTGCCTGAGAAGGACAGCATGATTCCATGGCACTATTCTGAAGAAAAGCAGGGAGCTGTTCCTAGTGCCCTGGCTAACATTTGTCCCTCAGTCAGCATCACTAAAAACAAATTATCCGGTCGCTATCATAATGCTGTTTATGTATGTTGCATGTAAATTAGCTGCCATTGGGAGGGTGTACCTACATTGCAAATGTAACTATATGTCAAAAGGACTTCATTGGCTGTAAGGCTTTTTTTCCTAATCAACTGTTTCAGAGATGTTAGTACATGACTTTGGAGCAGATAGGATTTGAGTCCAGCCCTCCTAGCTTAGAGGTAGGGACTCTACCACTGCACCACAAAGGCTATTGGGATATTTAGGTTGTGAAGGATGCCACATAAGTGTAAGCAGATGGTGGGCTTTGAACTTCTATTACAAAATGAATGAGAATTTTGTCTAAAAAGATTAAGGGTCATTTGTAAACAATGAGTAATTCTTTAGTTTAATCTGATGGAGGAAGTTAACATTTGCAGAAAAAAATTCTCAGGCTGTACCTGATATTTCTAATTCATAGCTAGCAAGTTGGCAAGAGTATCCTTCCCATCAGGGAGCATCGTATCCTGGAAGCAGGTCGGAAGAATGATATGTTCCATGTTCTTGCTTTGGAATATTTGTAGTACCAGCAGTATGATGGAGGCTAATCTTTCAGACATTAGGTTTTCATTGGGGAAGATGTCACTGGCTTAAATACAAAGCAAGAGTAACCCGAATGAAAGGTTCACCACAAATTTCCCTTCTTATATCTCAACACAATCATAACAGTGGTGTGGGGTATGTGTCAGGCTGATGCTTTTCTCAAATTCCAAGATGAATTTCACCCACAAAATGCCAATATAATATTATAAAAATAACTTCAAGCAGGGACAATATTTATCCTAACAGTAATCGATTTTCATTGCTATAGAAGTCAGAATAAAGTATTCAATGTTTAGAGGTAACACTCAACTTTTAATAAATCCTCTCAAGTAGCTAACTGTCTGGTTGTCATTGATTGTGTCCTTGCAATACTAAATCTGTGAAAGTTTGGCACATGCACTAAAATCTATGTGATAAATGTGCTGACTTTTCTAAGGCTACACATCACAATGTTTATCCAGTACTTTGACTGAGCCCTTATTTAGAAGTGCATCTCTCAAACTCTGCTGGGAATATCAGTCAGTCAGTCAGCTGACTTTTTCTGGAAATCTGGATCATACAGTTTCACTGTGTGGCCTTGCTAATCACTTTCAGTCAGACATGCATCCAGCTGCATGAGGAACTGCCAACTGGTGCTTCTTGAAGGGCCAACCATTCAACTTGCAGATGTGTTTGACTTCATGGGATAACTCTGGATTATTTTTCGAGGTCTTATGGTTATTTGGTGCATCCACACAAGGAAGGCAGAGGTTTTGTGAGGTGCCCACACCAAGTGTATCAATAATAATGGAGCTATATTTACAGTACCACTGGGTCTGTAAGCTAACTGAGAAGTGAAGCACAGGCTGCACAGAGAAGATTTTCTGTGTAGAGGACGAAAGGAGGGTAGGAGAACTCTCCACCGTCCAACATGGATTTTCAGGGAGGATTTTTCATATATCTACCTTGGCCAAGAGTTGAACAAGAGACTAGGAATACTGCAGTAACTCACCTCCCAGCTCCCCATAGTCTGTCCACCATCTACGAGGCACAGGTCAGGAGTGTGATGGAATACTCCCCACTTGCCTGGATGAGTGCAGCTCCAACAACACTCAAGAAGCTTGACACCATCCAGACAAAGTGGCCCACTTGATTGACACCACATCCACAAGCATCCACTCCCTCTGCCACCGACGCTCAGTAGCAGCAGTGTGTACTATCTACAAGATGCACTACAGAAATTCACCAAAGATCCTTAGACAGTATCTTCCAAATCCATGACCACTTCCATCTAGAAGGACAAGGGCAGCAGATACATGGGAACACCACCAACTGCAGGTTCCACTCCAAGCCACTCAACATCCTGACTTGAAAATATATCACCATTCCTTCGCTGTTGTTGAGTCAAAATCTTGGATTTACCTCTCTACTGGCATTGTGAGTCAACCCACAGCATCTGGAATGTAATGGTTCACCACCACCTTCTCAAGGGAAGCTTGGGCCAGGCAACAAATTCTCACCAGCCAGTGATGCCCAAGCCCCAAGAGTGAATTTAAAAAAAACACAATTGTCAAATTCGTTGTCTAACTTGACTATTAACCAACAGAAGCAAATTACAACATCTAGTACTTCAATTAATTATTGGGAAGTTATTTTCTTTGGATCCCACCATAAACTTTGCTCACCAACTACTAACTCCATGCCTCTCCCTGCTCACCATCTGAGTTTGAACTAGACTGTTCACAACCTTGGATTCCTATTTGATCTTGAACTGAGCTTTCAACTGATGTCCATTCATCATTCAGTCTGCCTCCTTTCACCTCCATAATATCACCCTCTCCTCCCCCATCCCAGTACATATGCTCCTGAAACTCTCACTCATGCCTATCTTACCTCTTAACTAAACTATCTCACCTCCTAACTAAACTATCTCAAGATGGTTTCCTGGTTGACTTCCAATCTTTTAACTTCTGTGCTGCATCCAAACTTGTGCCAAGTTTCATTCACCCATCACCCTTGTGCTCATGCAGTACACTGGCTCCTAGTAAAGCAAATTCTTAATTTTGAATGTTTACTATAGACATCATCCATATCCTGCTTTTCATTGTCTCTGGAATCTACTCCGCTCTTTTCGAACTGGTAAATTACTTATAACTAGTTCTGTTCCTCTTCAATTGTGGATGTACCTTCAGTTACCTGAGACATATATTCCAGAATTCTTTACTTAAATCTCTCTGTGTCTCTCTTAAATGAGAAGTCACTTTTCAAAACTGGGCTCTTTGACCAAACTTTTGGTCAGCAGTGCTGATATCTCCTTATATGGCTCGATGTTTGGTAATACTTTGAGATGCACTACAGTGTTAACACTGCTGGATAAATGCAAACTGTGTAATGTATGAGTAGTTAATATCATGTTAATTATTATGTTGAATTATTGAATAGAATATTGCAACACAGAAGGCTCATTGTGCTTGTGAAAGCTTTTAAGAGTTATCCAATTTAGTCCCGCATCTCAATCTCCCCCTATAACTGTGCAAATTATTGTTCAAGTATGTCAAATTGCCTTTTGAATATTCAAATGAATCTAATCCTAAATTTAAAACCTTTTCAGATAATGCATTGCAGATCATAACAATTCTCTGTGAAGAATTCAAATCTTGCTACCCAAAGATTATTCTGCCTAATGTGGTTAATACTGTTGATGGCAATAATCAGTAACGTTCATGGTCATGTTTACTAAATCATAATCTGCATGTTGCAAGGGGAAAGGAGGCAAATACAATGTGCAATTCAGCATCAGCAAGTTAACCTACAAGTGCCAAGTTTTGAACTATTGCAAGAAACGATCCCACAGAACAAGGTGAACGAAAAAAGTGGAATTTTTTTTTCATTTCTGTTGCACCTCCAAACGTCCCAAAACAGCCAATCAAGTACTTTTAGAATTGTGGTCACTGTTGTCATGGCAGAGTGTCAGACCTTTGTTGTTCTGGAGTGAGTCAACATCTCTTTCAGTTTTCTATAATACTCTTAGAAGCACAAGGTGAAAAAAAAACCACAACAGCATTTCCTCTTTTGACAAATGTGGAATGAAAACCAGTTACTGGAAAACCTCCAAACACGGATAAAGTGTTTCTCTACATGGGGGGAGAACAGCAAAATGCTGTTGCAGACTCCACTTCCTGTCAAAAAGTGTAGTTATACATGTAATGTTGTCATTTGCCCCACAAAGAATATGCAGCTCAGAATAATATTCCTATATTACTAAAATAAAAATACAGTAAACTATTCTACCAATCAAACCTGCTTCATCATTCAATCTTAAATCTGCATAGTAACTCCACTTACCCACCATAGATCCATATACCTTTATACAATTAACAAACAAATCCATCAATCTCAGTTCTAAAACGTTCAATTGACTCACAGACTCAACATCCAAGGAGAAATATTTTTTCAAGAATTAATACATGGTGCTTTTGATGAATCTGACATTTTAAAACAAATGCAATTGTTTTAAAATGTGCTATTAATTAATCTATTAATCTATGGTCTATTAATTGCTATGTAAGATCTATGTTTAAAGAGCAAATATGTAAAAGTTTACAAATCCACATATGCAATTTCACTACATCTACATTTAACAGTTTGAATATAAATCCAATTGATTTCCCTGCATTCACATTTACCACAAATGAATTGTTTCAAACATTTGATTAGTTCTTTATTGAAAACAATACAACTTCATAAATAACATAAAGTCACAGAGTTATAATGTTCGGAAACAGACCCATCAATCCAACTAGTCCTATTTGCCAGCATTTGGCCCATATCCCTCTAAACCCTTCCTATTCATATACCCATCCAAATGCCTTACACTCTCTCCTTAAACCACCGGCCTCTAGTTTTGTACACCCCACCCTAGGTAAAAGACCTTGACTATTCGCCCTATCCATGCCCCTCATGATTTTATAAATCTTTATAAATCTTTATAAAGTCATCCCTCGGCCTCTGACGCTCCAGGGAAAATAGCCCCAGCCTATTCAGCCTCTCCCTATAACTCAAACCCTCCAATCCCAGCAATATCCTTGTAAATCTTTTCTGGACCCTCTCAAGTTTAACAACGTCCGTCTTTCGGAAGGCATTCAGAATTGTATGCAGTATTCTAAAAGTGGCCTCACCAATGTCCTGTATAGCTGCAACATGACATCCCAATTCCTATACTCAGTGTTATGACCAATGAAGGCAAGTGTGCTAAATGCCTTTTTCACCACCCTGTCTACCTATGACTCCACTTTCAAGGAAGTATGCACCTACACCCTTATGTCTCTTTTTGTGTTTTAATTGATAGGATGATTTTATCTGTAATGTAGAAGATGTGTTTTTTGTGTTTAGTTTATTGATTATTTGAATTTTTGTAATGAAATTCCAGTATTATGAAGTTTTTGTCATGAGTTAATTTGTTCTAAAATTATCTTTCTTTTCCCTCTTGTAATTTAAGGCAGTCTGGTACTTGCAAGTTGTCATTGGAATCATCAGAGAAACGCTGTAAATCTCATGATGGTTTGATCTGCAGTGGCAGGGGACAGTGCGAATGTGGTGTATGCATCTGCCTTGACAATGAACCAGGCAAATACTATGGCTCTCGGTGTGAGTGCCAGGACTGGCTCTGTGAAAGCTACGATGGGAGAATTTGTGGAGGTAAACTATTTATACTGCATCAGCGTTTGAAGTCAGGTGAACTGGGTAGCTGACCTCTTCAAAATTGACCAGGAATGACAGATTACAGCAAACATGGGAGAAACATCATTGCCCATTAAAATAAATCCTCTAGATTTAATTATCTTTGATTGCTTAAACAATTGTTTTAGGGAGGAGGGTGATCATGAAGGAGGAAATGTGAGGCAACTGAACACAAGATGGGGAGGGGTAGCGTTGTCAGACAGCATGTAACAAAACATCCAAGAATGTACTCAACCAGAGTTGGCAACCCTGCATTCTGCATGGATATAAGTGGACCTAATGATAGCCCACATGGGCCACAAAGCTCTGGGTGTGTTGTGCTTGGTCAGATTGTTTATATGTTGCATGTGTCCAGCAATGAAGTGATACCCCGATTTGTACATAGCACCTGCAAAAGTTAGTTAGCAAAATGTACAGGTTTCCCACAAATGAAGATAACTGAAATGTCAGGTTTGATTTGACTGATGTGCTAATATTTGAAATCAAAACTTTATGGTTTGTACACTTCCCAGAATTTGTGGGTTTTGAATTATGCCTCAATGGACAAAGAGACATAAATTATAGGTTGAACATTTAGATACAGATCCAGTGAAACTATTAGATCTAGGTACACTTGGAAATGTTTTATGAGCCAATTCTACAATTTAGGGCATATTTATGTCAACGATTGGTATGGTTATTGTGTATCTAGGTGTGTAATCAGATTTGATTAATTACACTTGAAGCAATATAGGTCTGAGGTTTGTTTTGAAGTTTAGTTCATTATAACTGGGGGATACTGGACTGGAGCCTTGAATACTATAGCTGTTGGGTTTGTATACTGAAGGGTTTTTGTATTGAATGGTTCTTCCCAAACAGGTTCATATCTGCCATGTATTTTCCTAGCTCCAGCCAGTTTCTCCTGAGTTCTTTATTGGATTTCTACTGACTATTTTGTACTTCTGGCCCAGTGTTCTGGTGTCACCCACAAGTGGAAACATTTTATCTTTATTCTTTATCAAATCTTTTCATAACCTTTATGATCTCTTTTAGGTTTCCCTCAGTCCTTTTCTTTCTAGAGAAAATAGTCCTAGCTTTTCCAGCTTCCCCTCCCCCCTCATTGTTATAAGCTTTCATTTCTTTGTTTGTTGTGGACAGATCTGCACTCCAACTCAGAGGTGGACTGCATCTTCCAGTGGTTAAACTAGGGATGGGATCCCTTTCTCTACAGCAGTTGAATTGTCAAGCATTGAACTGATCCTTCTCGGGATCACGTACCTGGCTACATTCCAAATAATCTCTGAGACTAGTTTCAGGAATGGCTAGGTGCAGGAAGATGGCTAAATATGCCATAGTAAGGGTTCCCTTTGGTTTGAACTCCGTCCTCCATCTCTCAGCCCACACAGTGATGATTTATAAGGATAGTGGAATTTATGGAATTTGTATGCATGTGTTTGCGTTACAGGGTTTTGATTTAGCCTTCCCAGATGGTGTTCCTGGTTGAAACTCTAACTATATATTTGCTATTCATCTCCTTAATAGTTTTCCACAGTTGTTTTGTCCTACAGGTATTTTGTTCAGGTCAAAAAATTAAGAATTGTGTAGAAAGTACATGCCACTTGTATAGGACTGAAGGAGACCAACCAACTCATTGAGCCTTCCCACTGTGCAATTAAATCATGGCTGACCTGCATCTGAACTCCATCATCCTGCCTTGTTCCTGCAACCCTTAACCAACAAAAATCTATTCATCTGTTTGTAAAATCTTCAATTGACCCATTACATTGAATCAGGGAAAACACCTCATCCACATCCAGTCTGTCATGCTTTGTAAGAATTTACTGATTTCAATTAGCTCATCACTCATTCTTTGAAACTCTCGAGAGTATGGGCCCAGTGTTTTCAGTTGCTCCTCAAAGAACAAACCTACCATCCCAAGGATTAATCTGGTGAACTCCCATGAACTCTGGTTACAATAAGTATATTCCCTCTTTAGATGTTGGTATCAAAACTATACACAATTTTAGGGAGAGAGTTCCAGATTTCTACTCCCCTTTATGTGAAAAAGTGTTTTCTGACATTACCCCTGAAGAGCCTGGCTCTGATTTTAAGATTTTCCTCCCATTTTCTGGACTCTCATTCTCACCCCTCTGAAACAGGTTCCCTCTATCTACTTCATCATCCCCTTTTATTTGGCCTGAAAGCCTCATTAATATCATCCTCAAACACCTACAGTTAATGGAAATACAAATCATTATCTATATAAACTGTCCTCCCAATTTGCAGATGCATTTGGAGAGTACAGGAAAGCTTTGAAGACAGTTGGCAATTTTTGAGGAACCTGAAGGAAGTGCTACATCTGAAAATAGCAGGTTTAGTCAAATTGGGTGAAGTAGCATTTGTGTGTTGCTAATACAAAGTTGTAATTGGCTCTCAAGTGGAGGGAGAATTCAGAAGAAATCTGGCCTTCTCTTTCTCAAACTAGACTAAATTCAGCATCTACCTTAGGTGATTGATCTTGGATTAGGATTTGTTAAACAGGTGGCGTCGTTAGGAGAAATTTTGGTAGGCCATACAGCCCATAAGGTCTGCTTTGCCATTGAATTAGATCAATGCCCACTTTCTCACATTGTCTCCAAGTTCCTTAATGTCATTAATCTCCATTTAAGTTCTGTCCTGAACCTGCTCAATGATTGAACTTCAACTACCCTCAGATTTCGAGAATTTTAAAAATTCGCCACCTTCCGAGTGATGAAGTTCCATCTCTGCTCTGTCTCAAATGGCCCTTACATTTCCTTTATCTCCCCTGATTTAAGACTGACCAGCCAGGAGAAATATCTCTATACACCAGATCACACCCTGTAAAATACTTTTATGTTTCAGTGATATCAACTTTTATTCTGCTAAACTTTAGGCAACTCCAGTCTCCTCAATCTCTCTTCCTAAGACAATCCCACCATCCACGGATTAATCTGTTGAACTTCCCTTGCATTCTGATTATAGTAAGTTGCTGACGGGACTAAAACAGTACACAATACTTAAGATGAGGTAATACAAAGGCTCTATACAACTGCAGCAAGACATTTTTACTCCAGTACTCAAATCCCCTTATCCACATCATTTGTCTTGCTGCGCCTGCATGCTAACTTTGAGTCACTTATGAACAAGGACACCAATATCCCTTTGCACACTTGCACCTCCCAATCTCTCAACGGAAAGAAATATCCTGAATTTCTATTTCTTCAACCAAAATGAATAAGTTCACACTTGTTCATGTTATATTCCATCTGCCATGTTCCAGCCCATTCACTTAGTCTATCCAAGTCCTCTTGAAGCCCTCTTACATGCTCCTCACAATGCACATTTCCACTCAATTTGGTATCATTAGCCAATTAACAATATACCATTGATCCTCACATCTAAATCATTTATATAGATTCTGAAAAGTTGTGGACTCAGCACTAAGCCAAGCGGTTCCCCACGAGTAACAACTTGACATTCTGAGAATGATCCATTAATTCCTACTGTCTGCTTTCTACCTATTAAACAATTCTCAACGCCCACTATATTAGCTCCAACCTCTTGCAGTCCAATTTTATTTACTAATCTCCAGTGTGTGACCTTATGAAAAATCTTCTAGAAATTCAAATACACCACTGGTTCTCCTTTATCAACATTACAAGTAACATCCTCAAACCCAAACCACATATTTGTCAATTTGAATTCTGTGTTGACTCTCCACTTACCTTTACAAACCCTTCATTATTCAACAAAGAAATGACATAAACAGTGGAAGTTCGTATCTCCTTACATCTTGTTAATTGTCTTCTCAGCAACATTTGTGGAATATGGGCTAAAGGGATGTCACTATCAATTTGACTAACATACATCTGGTTCTATTAATACTCTACTGAGTCATCATGGTTTCAGAAAAAAAACACAATGAGACAATGTTTTTAAATTATATCCTACATGTATTTTGCCAGCTGTTTGTTGTAACAATCAACCATTAAGAATCCAGTAACCATGAGATTATGGCTTTTACCCAACCCGACCACAGAAATAATGATGGTAATCACTGCCTCCAAACAAAATTAAATGTCATTCCTAACTGTATATCTGGTAAATTACATGGTTCTCTCTTCATGTTATTTAAAACTCTTAACTGTTTGAGAACTGAAGTAGTATTTCTGCATTCTCATCCAATTTTAATACAAATTGAGAGATGATTAGAATATTGAAAGGATGAGGTAGAACTCCATTGAGCTTTGGTGCAGGGTGATGACATTTTCTTCATAGAATCCCTACAGTGCAGATAGAGGCCGGTTGAGGCTGCACTGACCCTCCAAAGTGCATCCCACCCAATCCTTGTAATTGTGCATTTACCATGGCTAATCCACCTAGCCTATGCATTCCTTGGCACTATGGAGCAATTTAGCATGGCTAATCCACCCAACCTGCACATCTCTGGACTGTGGGAGGAAACAGACAAAGGGAGAACATGCAAACTCCACACAGTTGCCCAAGGCTGGAATTGAACCAGGTTCCTGGCGCTGTGAGGCAGCATGCTATCCACTATACCACCATGCTGCTCAGAAAATAACCTCCACAAAGAATGTTTTTGGATCCCAACTATAACTTTAACGACTTTGGCTCAAGAATAAAGAAAGAGATTGAAGAATGACTCAGCTCAGATATTACTCCCTCATGGAACCTCAGAATGATACAACACAGAAAGAAGATGTTCAGTCCTTTGTGCATTTTGAAGGAGCTATACAATATGTTACATTCCTTCTGCTCTTTCCCATTAACCTGCATGTTCTCCCTTCAAGTTTACTGTGTATCCAGTAACCCTTTTTATTGAATCAGAGATAGTAGGAACTGCAGATGCTGGAGAATCCGAGACAACAAGGTGCAGGGCTGGATGAACACAGCAGGCCAAGCAG